TCCTGCTAATTTACAACTGATCTCCAGGCAGCAGAGATTAGTTCACCTGGAGAGAATGGCCGCTTTGGAAGGTGGACTCTATGGCTTTATGCCATACTGAAGTCCCTCCCCTCCCCTCCCCAAACCCCACTCTCCCCAGTCTCCAGCCCCCAAATCTCCAGGTATTTCCCAATCTGGAGCTGGCAGCCCTAAATGGGGGCCTGTCCCAGCTGAACAGAAGAGAGAAGTTGTGTCTGTGAAGAAACTGTTTGCGATGGACAGGTCCCAGAGACAGAATGCAGAAGTTGGTTCCCAGTTCCTTATTCACTTTTCCTAGTTCCTTATTTGCAAATCCAATGACAAATATTGACGACCATTTACAGGGGTCGTTTCGTAGAAAAAGAGCTAGGGGAACTCATTAGCACAACTCATTAGCATATGCCACACCCCCTGACATCACTGGAAGTGTGTCATAAGGCCACACACCCTGACCTCACCGGAAGTGTGTCATAAGGCCACACACCCCGACCCCAACAGTCCCGGCCGCCACTGCCGGCCTTGCAGCTCCACTGCTGAGCCCCATGAGGGGCCCGGCGATGGACCTGCAAGGTCGGCAGGAGTGCAAGGAAGCCCCGCCAAGGCCCTCCCTGGCAGGCAGGGGTGGGGAGAGGCAGGGAGGAAGCAACTTACCCTCCCTCTTCTCCTGCCTCCTCCTGGCTGAATGAGGGCCAGGAAGCGGGGTGGCCGGAAGCAGGGGGCGGGGCTTTGTCATGTGCCCCGCCCCCCGTACCTGACCCGGGGGAACTGCGATCCCCCGCGATCCCCCTCCGAAATGACCTCTGACCATTTACAAGCTTTGAACCTCAGAATGAGGTTTGGACTACCACAAATCATACACCCCAATGCTCAGGGGACTCAGCCCTCCAAGGGGCCAACAGGTTCTGTTTCCTGGTCCAAAACCTAGTTCTTATGCCAACTGCTCCAAAGTGGGGTGCTCCCAGGAAAAACAGACATGCAGACCCTGAGGGGAAGCTGCACCCCAAAACAATCTTTGGACCACCCCGAATTACATATCCTCAACACTCCAGAGAGTGTGAAATTAGGCAGATCGCGAGAAGGGAGGGCAGGAAGGGTTGCATCAGTGCTTAGTCCTTGTGGCCCTTTCTTACATGCCCAGGGAAATGCTGATCGCCACTTTGGGGTCAGGAAGCCATTTTCCTCCAGGCCGGTGTGGCCGGGGATCCTGGAGGGTTTTTTGTCATCTTCTGGGCATGGAGCAGGGGCCACAGGCGGTGTGGCGGGGAAGTATTTGTGAACTCCCTGCATTGTGCAGGGGGCTGGACTAGATGGCCCTGGAGGTCCCTTCCAAATCTATGATTCTATGACTGCCTGGTGCCTGGTCCAAACCCTAGTTTTGGCACCACAGGCTTCTATTTAGGTTGCCAGCAGGAAGCCTGTATTACGAAGAATATATGAATAAGGATTTGGAATGGCTGCTTGCCCTCTGCACCCCAAAATAAAGTTTGGACCACCACAAGTCATACACCTCCACATCCAGGGGACTCTGCTCTCCAAAGGCACATATCCTATTTCCTGGTCCAAAGCCCAGTTCTTGTGCCAACTGCTGCAAAGTGGGGCAAGTTAGGAGCACATAAAACCCTGATGATAGGTGGTGTTCAGCCGCTAGTACCCACTAGCCCTGAAAAGCCATGAATGCTCATTCAAGCAAGCGTCTTCTGTCAATGAAACTAAAGAAAAGACAGGGAGAGGAAGGTAAAAGGTCTTATCTACAAGGCCGTGCAATTTTATTGTTGCTTCACATATTCCAGGATGCGAGGCAGACGAGGAAGGCAAGTCCAACGTCTGGGTCTTTGTGTAAAGTGTGTCCTTTGATATTGCAAGAGGAAACAAAGGAGGCAACTAAGGAGCAGCAATATGACATTGCTTGGCCCAGTTCTTTTTCCTCATGGCCACTGCTAAGCAAACAGCTGACTTGTGGAGGGCAGGGGAAACCAAGAAATGGGAAACTGAGAGGGGACGAAGTATAAGGCAGTATTCAGAACGAAAGCAGAACGAATCACTTCTGCTTGGAGGGTCTATTTTGGAGTCACATGGAAACTTGAAAAAAAAATCTGCACTTTCCCGTGAGGATGGGAACACTTGGAAATGCCTTACTGTGTGCCCTAAGCTGCTCACATGGAATGTCTCGCCGAAGCTTTCAAACCGCCGGGTGGATGGCGAGCTGGGGACAAGGCTGGTAGCTCACACCAGCGCGGGCTCAGAAGCAGTAGCCCCCTGAATACCCCTGCAGGAGGGCAACAATGTCTGGAGCCTTTGGCCTCTGTGGCCTGCTTGTAGATCTTTCAGGGGCAACTGTGTGAACTCGATGGGCCACTGGACTGATCCAACATAGCTGTGTGTTGTGGTGGTTAGAGCACTGGGCTAGGATCTGGAAGACCTGGCTTCAAACCCCCATTCTCTCATGGAAGCTCAGTAAGCAGCTTAGGGGCCATTCACACCCTTATCCTAACCTACCTTGCAGGGTTCTTGTAAGGATAAAATGGAGGAGGGGAGAATGATGTTGTAAGCTGGTTTTGATCTCTGCTGCATTGAAAAGTGGGGTATATATAAGTACATATTCCCGTATTACTGATACCTGCAAGCAATGGGCTGGAGACATTCCATGCAATTACACCAGCTGATAAACCAGCGGCGTACCTAGCCTATTTGGTGCCTGGGGTGGATAATTTTTTAAGAAGAAGAAGAAGAAGAGTTGGATTTATATCCGCCCTTCACTTGGCGCCTCAGAGCAGCTTACAATCACCTCCCCTTCCTCTCTCTACAACGACACCCTGTGAGGTAGGTGGGGCTGAGAGAGCTCTGACAGAAACTGCTCTTGAGGGAACAGTTCTGAGAGGACTGTGACTGGCCCAAGCTGGCTTCATGTGGAGGACTGAGGAATCAAACCCAGGTCTCCAGATTAGAGTCCGCCGCTCTTAACCTCTACTCCAAACTGGCACCCCCTCTAACACCCCCTCTATTTATTTATTTTTGGTCATGTCACAGCTGACTTAAGGCAACCCTGTAGGGTTTTCAAGGCAAAAAGCTATGCTCAGACTTCCCTGCACCCCTAGTGGTTACAGCCAGAACTGCATTTTAAAAATAAAAGGGAAGACATTTGGCGAGGAGGAGGAGGAGAAGAAGATTGGATTTATACCCCACCCTTCATTCAGAGTCTCAGGGCTCCCAATCTCCCTTCCCCTCCCCTCCCCTCCCCACAACAGACACCCTGTGAGGTAGGTGGGGCTGAGAGAGCTCTGACAGGACTGCTCTTGAGAGAACAGCTCTGAGAGAGAACTGTGGTTTTCCCAGGGTCACCCAGCAGCTGCATGTGGAGGAGGGGTGGGTGTGCGGGGAATCAAACCCGGTTCTCCAGAATTAGAATCCACCACTCTTAACCCCTACACCAAACTGGCTCTCCAGTTTGGAGGCAGCAAGACGATGCTGGCTTCGAGGGCCCCCTTCAAAAGCCTTCCTTAAGTTGTGCCCGGGGCAGACCACCCGCCCTGCCCCTTGGTACACCACTGTGATAAACAGCACATCTTTTCAAATACATTTATAAACTGCCGTAAGCAATGGGGATACTGGGGTATAAATTATCTTAATTAAAAAATACCAGTCCAGGGTTTAAATCATTCATTTATTAGAACAGTAACAAAGAGCTGAGCCTGTGTGACCTGGGAGTCCCTGCAGTGATGGCTTGTGTGTCATTCTTCATGTCCTCTTAGTCACAGTCCCCTTGACGTTACAGCACCTGGCCAGTCAGAAGAACTAAGCAGCGTGGCTTAATCCAGAGGAGAGAAAGAGAAGACTCTGGAGGGAGGCGCAGGGCAGTTTCTTCCTGCTCGTAAATGAGATGTGTATCCGTGTGACCCTGATCCTGCAGGGCTAGGAGGCAACTGTGATAAAAAGGTTGATTCAAAGAAGGGCATTCTTTACTACATGCAATACTGTGCTTTATTGGACTGCAATCAAATAATAAACAGTCCCTTCGCTGGTATCCCAGCCCTACCAGCAGATGGTTAGTAGGATGCAATAGAAACTGGGTGCCTCTGAAGGGTCCTCCTGCAATAATTGTGGTAGAAGACGGGGACGGCAAAGGATGAGATGGTTAGACAGTGTCATAGATGCAACGAACATGAAATTGAGCAAACTTCAGAGGACGGCGGAAGACAGGAAGGCCTGGCGTGATCTGGTCCATGGGGTCGCAGAGAGTCAGACTCGACTGTGCGACTGAACGACAACAAAATTTGCAGCATTGGATTGTGCCTCAAGGAAAGCCTGATCAAATGTCATTATACGGGAGCTCAGTGGCTCAGTGGTAAAGCACCTGCTTTGCATGCAGAAGGTCCCAAGTTCAATCCCTGGCATCTCCAGTTGAAAGGACCCGATAGTAGGAGACGTGAGCCGCTGCCAGTCTGCGTAGACAATACGGACCTCGAGGGATCAAGGGTTTGATTCAATGCAAGGCAGCTTCATGTGTTCATAGTCAGTCTGGGGAGTGGAGTAGCTACTGGCCAGGATTTCCCAAACCTCTGGGGCAACTGGCTACCGACAGGGCTGACTTGTCCATTAGGTTCACCTAAGGGACTGTGCAGGGCACCAGAGGTGTAGGTGTGCCGGCAAGTCCTGCTATTCCCCATCTGCTGCGGCTAGTGGCAGCCCTGGGAGGTTCTTTGGCAGGCCCTTTCCTCCTTCCTTATGTGTGTGTGGGGGGGCAGCAGCCTCTTCCCGCTATCCTGCAGCGCAGGTGGGCTGCTTCCCCTCCCTAGCCTGGGGCACTAGAATTTCCAGCTCTGGGTTGGGAGGTTTGGGGGAGGGGCGGAGCCTGAAGGGGGCGGGGTTTGGGGAGGGCAGGGTACAGTGCCGTGGAACCCATCCTCCGGTTGGCCCTGTCATTCCACCTCCTCCACCCTGCAACACAACCATTTTCTCCGGGGGAACTGATCTAGGTTGTCTTGAGATCAATTGTAATAGCAGGAGAGCTCCAAGTGCCGCCTGGAGGTTGGTAACCCAATAGGGCACCCAGAATCCTTATTATGCCAGCCCTGGCCCTAGAATCTGGAATTTATACAAACACTACATCTGACAACTGGCTCAGAAGATCCAGATCGCATTCTTTTTCTGGTGGGGTGGCAACCTGAGTTGTTATTGTATTGTTTTCCGGATACGGTGATGAAGCAGAGCGGAAGACTGAAGGCCAGGCTTCTGGTGAGAGGAACGGCCGAAATGGACAAGGCAGGAACACCTGAAATGAGGGGGGAAGAGATTTAGTTAGAGACTACTGCTGGGTCCGTCTAGTCAAGGGTGCACCATCAAGCATGAAGACAATGCCGTACTTTGCTTCTTCCTGCCGATAAATGCAGGGCTATTTTTGGGCAGGGACGCACAGGAACGGCGTTCCAGCTGGCTCCAGAGTTGGCCACGCCCACTACAGCCAAAACCTCTGCATGTGTGGCTACGGAGGGAAGGCCTGGAGATCAACCCCCCCCTCCAGCAACTCTGAGGCGGGTGGGCCAAGGGGCCCCCTGGAAGGATCGGGGAGGCATTTAAATGACTCCCCGCACCTTCCCCGGCCTGTCCAAGGGCCAGCTTGCCCGGGCTCCGCACAGCCGCGGGGTGCCCTGGCAAGCCAAGGGAAGACATGGGGTGTTTTGCTATTAGCTTATTATGCTAATAAGCTGTGCTGTCAGGGGTGTGGCCTAATATGCTAATGGATTTCTGCTGTTGGGTGTGGCCTGTTATGCTAATGAGTTCCTGCTGGGCTTTTCCTACAAAAAGAGCCCTGGATAAAATGTAATCACAGACCTTTCTAGAAGATTCCCAGTTGTTTCCTCCTGTTGATATCCCGCTTCAGCTGACACAGATTACAGGGAGCACAGCAGACGACAGTGAGGCAGTCTGAACAGATGGATCCCTGCGGAGTATAAAAAGGCAAGATGTCAGTGGATCTGTATCCGCAATACTGGAAGGAGAGACCTTAAACTGAGAATGTGCCCACACTGCGGATTTTTGTGTTTGCAACTGTGTACTTTGGGGCGCAGCTCAAAAGACAGAAGAATCCCTGGCGGAGGTTTATGCTGGTTCTCTGGGACAGGCACCCACTCAAAGCTGTGCAAACCGCACAGGCTACACTGGTGTGCGGTGGTAGAGGACTGGTGTAGGCCAGAACACCCTACACCTCTGTACAACTTGGAACTGATACCCTGAAACAGGTTTTAAGCCACCCAGTTGGCTAAAACGCTCCAAGCATGTCTCCATCTAGGACTGGATATGCTGAAATCTAGGACTGGATATGCTGGACATGAATAAAATCACCAGGGCCACCCAATAACCTCCCCACTGAAGAAGAGACTGGATGCACAGAAATATGCTTTAAAAAAAACAAAAACGGTACATGCATAGAGCAGGAAATGAGTATTCTGAAACATCTTTAAAACCACACAGTGGCAAAACAATATGTGCGTGTCTATGGAAGGTCTGAGATATACTGAAAAACATCCAGGTATTTGAATGTGTAGAGCAGGGAATGGATAAGATATAATGTGGAAACTGTTGCGGAATTTAGGCTGCGGTCACACGGGCAGGAAAATGCAGAGGGGAAGCGTGGCTGTTTGCCCCGGGGCAAAATAACGCGCGATTGTGCGAGCAGACATCCCGTGGAGGTCCCGTGGTAGGGGGGAGGTGCCGATCACACCACAATCCTGCGGCGCGGCAAAGAAGCGGTGCGCCGCGGCAAACGGGTGGGGTTTTTTCTGTACACCGACATGTGCGCATGCCCCGTTGGGTGCTTGTGCACATCCCGAGGACACTTGAAAAAAACCAACCTTTTTGTGAGGAGACATGGGCGGGCGCTGGATGCCATGGGATTCCACCGGAAACGTGATCACGCGCCCACCCTTGTCCTGCGGTTTCCGAAAACTAGTACCTCCAAGGTACTAGTTTTTTACCACGCATCTTTGGAGTGAAGCCTCGGATGAGCCACGGGAGCTCTACGCTTCCCAGATGTGGCGGTGAGATCGCGCCCGGAAAATCCGCCTATCTTCCGTCTCTCTAGCGTGCTTAATGCTCCGTGTGACCGCAGCCTAAGACTGGATTGAGCCTCAGTCCTCTGCTAAACCTCTGGTATACCAATGCTACTTTAATTCCTATAGCAATTAGCCTCTATAGATGAATCTGTGGTTCTGTTTCCCAGGAGGTGTCATGACTCTGCTAAGCGCTGTGGCCTTCAGGATAACCCTGTACATGATTTTGCCTCATATGACTTTTGCCATGTGGGAATGTTTATGCTTTGCAGAAGTCAGGAGTCACTATCGAATTTTAAGTAGACAATGATTCTGCATTGGCTTTTCCCTCTCTTGTTTTACGAAACCCACACTGGAACAGAAATTCCCCTCTGCATTGCATGCTAGTTTCACTTCCTTTGATCATTGGGTTTTATGGTACCTTCTGCATAGATTTATGGCCGTTTTATGGCCGCTCAGGGGTGACTTTGCTGTCAGTATGGCACCGTGTTATGGCCGCTCAGGGGTGACTTTGCTGTCAGTATGGCATTTTGTATCTGAATGTGGTTTTGAGTGGCACTTTTCCCTCCCAGTTGAGAAAATAATGTGGAGTGAATGCTAGATGCAGAATTGCCCTTAGTCAGCCTTGACTCTCTGAGTCACCCTGACTGTCCTTGACCTTGAATGGGCTGACTTTGTTGTACACGTCAGAGATGTATGTCAAATGCTTGTCACAGACTTAACTGACAGTTATATTAGCCTTGTGGTTGGAAAAGGGTACTTAATGTCTGGATTTAGTTTCGTTCCTGGTTATTCTGGCCAGCCACCCTTCCGTTATGGGTCTTGACAGAGCGATCAAGGATATCCTTTATAGAATTACAAGTGCACTATTTATGTATTAGGGTTGTGATGAAATATTCTGTGTTGAATATTGAAAATGCTACAAAAGAGTTTTCTGACTTAAGAGTGTGTAATAGAATAAACTGAGTTTTGATTTAGAACAACACTCTCTCTCTCTCTCTTGATGCAATTGGGAAACCAGCTTCTCTCCCTCCCCAAAATGAACACGGTGGGAATGGGAGTGCATGAAAAGGTTCCTGCAGTCCTCATTTCCTCAACAGAAACAGTGGAAGGGCTTCTGGAGTTCTGTTCCCACTGGTGGACCTCCTGATGGCACCTGGGTTTTGCCCTCTGTGTGACACAGAGTGTTGGACTGGATAGGCCATTGGCCTGATCCAACATGGCTTCTCTTAGAACCAGATGGGGGCTTTTATTGGAATCAAAGTCCAGTTTTGCTCATGCCATACTCTGTAGCAATGATGGCCAGTTTTTGCTTCTTTGAGGCTTGTTTTCCAGACATACGTGTTTTGCCACACACCCCACACCTCGGGCTCTAGAATAAAGTCAGTCCAGGGTTTACCAGTTAACTGTTGTAGTTCAGTTGGGTTTGCAAGACTCTAGCTGGTAACCAGTGGAGAATGGCTGGGGGAGGGGGTTGACCTTTTTGGAGTTGCCAGATGCCAGAGCATTGCCCAGAGTTTTGGGTGAATGCTAGAGCATCAACCCAACATGATTATGTCACTTCCAGATTGTACAGGAAATGACATCATCATGTTGCTGCATCCCCAATGACCTCCCCCATTTCCCCTGCCATTTTCCTCTGTTGACCAGTTGATGAGCAGCAGCAGGCAGAGCAGATGGAGGGCGGGAGGTCTCCCTAGCGAGAAGCCTGGTCTCCCTAGCTGAGTAGTAGCATACTTATTGTTGCTATATATCCCCACAGTGTACTTTATGGCCTCTTTACCTCAGTTTTGCAGCACTGTGTTTCATTAAGAAAGAGTCTGATTTCAACTACAGCCAGCTTGTTGTTTTCATATCAAAGATATAGGAGGCGCTAGCCTGAAAGGGGCAAGCTGGGAGCAGATATTTTTGTAATTGGTGTGTACAGTCTATGTTCTGGATCTTCCAGATAGTCTGGTAAATGAATCGTTCCTAGGTAAACTCAGACAAGTAATTATTCTTCTGTTGTGCTATTCCTGCAACACAATGCTTAAGCTGAGGATTATGATTTATCTGTTCTGTAGATAGAAACAACAACACACAACAATTAACTGGATTCTTAAGGGCACACACGATTGTTTTAAAGGTTTGCTTGTGGAACGCCCTGAAACATGAAAATGAAATGATTATGATATCCTATTACCGGGATCCTGAACTGGGTCCGGTAGCGAGTCCTCATGGCCACGCTTGGTCCACAGCAGCAGCACTCTTCCATGTCCTTGGCAATTTTGCACCCGAGACAGCAGAAGCAGAACACTCCGCAGAGGCCTAGGAAAAGGCGAAACGGTTTTAGGTGGACAGTGTCGTTTCACAGCTTGCTTTTGAGGGGAAAGGGAGGGTAGCCAGCCTCTAGGTAGGTAGAAATGAGTGGAAACAACCGATGCCGAAAGAAAAATACGCAGGCTTATAAGCTCTTATCCACTATTCAGTTTGCTGTAGAAAGTCAATTTCTCAGAAATCATTCATAATGGCGCCATCAACACCAACGGACCATGCAGATCAAGTCTTGTTTCGTTCACAACTTTGACAGAGTGTGTAGCGTTGAAATTTCAATATAGTTAATTCGTTTAGAAAGCACTGTGGCCAAACCTCTTAGAGTCATTCGCCAATTCAAATGACGTTATGGTGTCATTATGAATGATTTCTGAGAAATTGACTTTCTACAGTAAACTGAACAGTGGATAAGAACTTATAAGCCTGCGTATTTTTCTTTTGGCATACATACTATATATCACGGTTGTTTCTGTTCATTTCTACCTTCCTTCCCGTGATCTCCATTTGTGGTTTGCAGCCTCTAGGTAGGGCCTGGAGATCTTGTGGGATTTCAACTGATCTCCAGGCAACAGAGATCAGTTGCCTTGGAGAAAATGGCTGCTTTGGAGGGTGGCCCCTATGGCATCATACTCTGCTGAGGCCCCTCCCCTCCCCAAACCCCGCCCTCTCCCGGCTCCATACCACAAATCTCCAGGTATTTCCCAACCCAGAGCTGGGAACCTTACAGTACCACCTGAGATGCCAGCAGGCAGAAAGCTGAGGTGCTGGGAGATCTCATGCTTAGGGTCGCCAGACCCCCCCCCCCAGTGGGGACAGGGTTCCCCCACTGCCAGGCCCCACCTCTTTGCTGCTGATCAGCTGGCCGGTGGGGGGACTTAACCTCCCCCCAGGGAATAACAGCTGATGTTTATCAAGAAGAAGAAGAGATTGGATTTATACCCTGCCCTTCACTCGGAGTCTCAGAGCGGCTTACAAACTCCTTTCCCTTCTCCTCCCCACAACAGACACCCTGTGAGGTTGGTGGGGCTGAGAGAGCCCTTTACAGAACAGCCCTTTCAAGGACAGGTCTGATAGAACTATGGCTTGCCCAAGTTCATCCAGCAGCTGCAAGTGGAGGAGAGGGGAATCAAACCCGGCTCTCAAAGATTAGAGTCTGCGCACTTAACCACTACACCAAACTGGCTCTCAACATGCTTACATTACTTCAACGTGTGGGCACATCAGGGATGTTGGGGCTACACTCTGGTTTTTGAGCAAAAACTCTATGGTAGGAGCTAATTCTACCATGGAGTTTTGGCCCAAAGACCAGAGCATTGCCCTGACGTCCTCAATGTGCCTACATCACTTCTGGATGGTGTTGGAGGTCACATGGGCATGTTGCTGAATCATTGGATGAAACTCCCTGCTCCTGGTAAGCCCACACTCCATCCCCCACAAGCTGCCAGGATGGATCTGGCATCCCTACTCATGATGTAGGGGGAGGCCTGACATCCCCAGCTAGGGCAGGGTAGCGGTTACAGTGTCAGACAAAGGAAACCTGGGTTCTAATCCTCACCCAACCATGAAATTCACCGGCTGAGTTTGGGCCTGTCATTCTCTGTCTTTTGAACCTGTATCTCAGGTAGGCTTGCCAAGTCCCCCCGGGGGATTGAGCCCCGGGGGAACCCCACCCCAGCGTGTGCGTCACCAAGAAGTGACGTTATGACGCCGGGCACGCTGGGGCGGGGCCAGGGTCATCCGAGGGAAAACTCTATGGTTTTCCCTCGGATGGTCATGGCCCCGCCCCCAGCGTGCCCGGCGTCATAACGTCACTTCCTGGTGACGTGTGTGCGGCGCGCACACGCACGCTCCAGCTGCAGACCGGGAGTCCCCCGGTAATAAGATTTTTCCACTTGGCAACCCTAATCTCAGGGTTATTGTTATACCTAGTTGGGGGAGAACAATGTACGTTGCCCTGAGTTTCTTGAAGGAAAGCGGGAGGGAGCTCTTGTGACCAGAAGATAAGCAGTAACCACAAAGACAGATTCTTCTTCAGGTACAGATGTAATGGGATATCTGGTTCATACAGCAGAGTTTTGCCCAGTTGTAGAAGTGTGCTACTGAGTGCAGTAAATAAATCTCCCAGAAAGTATGTTGCAAAAAAGGGTTAAACATATTTATTCAGGTAGATCCAGTTCACATTCAGGTTGCAGTCAAAAGGAGAGAGAGAGATGCCTAATCTAAAGAGGACTTTCCCTATCACAAATGGCCACCTTGTCCGGCATCGTGTCTGTGGGAGTATGAGGGCACTGTGTCTACAGGAGAGACCCGCAGAGATACATGTCTCCATGGAAGACCATGTGAAGGGAGAGGAGAAAGGGAGAGGGAAGGCAGGCCAGATGGCAGCTCCCAGGTTAAGACAAAGGAAGGCATCCCATACAAGGAGATAACACCTATACACGCTTAGAGTGATGCAGCACCCCCCATCCCCCGATGTCCAGGCATGCTGAGTCTCTCATTCCAACAAGGTGAACCAGTTTTTTCTGGTTATCATTTCCTGCCTCTAAGGTATCATTTCCTGCCTCTGCAGCTTCTGTGGTGGGCAGGGTGTTTGGGCAGCTGCCAAAGGCTAAATCTGTATCTTTAGCACAGCCAACAACAAGGTCTTTGGCATCCCTGAAGGTTCCCGCTACCCTTTCTGGGTGTTCTGGGTCTTCTCCCGCCCCACTATTGGAGAACCACTGATATAACTTCTGTCTAGATCAGAAGTCCCCAGCAGGGTGCCCATGGGCACCATGACACCCACCAGGACCTTTCCTGGTGCCCATCAAATGTTTTAAGAAAGTGGGTGGGGCCACTTTTGCCCAGCAAGGCTCCTGATTGGTCACTGGAGATTTGATAGGCTGCTCGGTCTTTTAAAAAACGTTGCTTTGGCAACAGCTGCCTCCACAGCACAGCACAATCTTCATTGTGTGACTGAAGGTAAGCTGAGGCAGCCATTCCGTAGCTGGCTCTACCTCCTGTGGCAGCCATTTTGTAGAAGCTATTTCTACAAAATGTGTCAGAATTCCAAAGGTGTCTGCAGCCTCAAAAAGGTTGAGGACTCCTGGCTTAGATTCTGTTACTGGAACACAGAAAGAAGCTGGCTTCACTATTTATTATCTTGCACGGTGGGGTGGGGTTTGAGAGAGGGAAGGACTTCGATGGGGTCTAATGCTGGTGGCCCTTTCCAAACTGCCTTTGTATTATGTTTTAGTAACTGGCTGCTAGTGAAATTTATTTATTTGTTCATAGAAACCCGCTTGCATTGGGTTAGCAAAGCATGGTTGAGCCGCTTTCGAGGGAAACTGCTTTCTTCTGTTTTCTACCCCTGTGTTGAGCTTCTGGATTACTGTAGTGTGCTGTTTAACATGTCCATAGAGCCTCATACAATGCCACTTCTTCCCCCACACCGTTTTTCGCCACGCGATGTTCCTTGCACTTTTTTTGGGAACATTCTAAATTGAGCACTATAGTGCTAAACTAATATAGCAATGGAGTTAAGGCATCTCAGTGGTGCAGCTATGGAACTGAAGTGCTATATTGGTTTACCGCTATAGTGCTGAACTTGGAATGTTAAATAAGAAAGTCTGAGGAAGATCACACAGCAAAAAAGAGGCAGGGAAAAAAGCGGTACTGTTTAAATTCCCATAGTGCTTCAGAGATGGCTCATTAGCAGAACAAAATTTGCTATGAAACCCCCGTCCCTATATTGCTTTACTCGAAACTGAACCAATAATGAATAACATCTGGTTTAGAATGGTAATGTGAAAAGGGCCATTGTACAGGGATTAGCCCACCCAGGCCAGTCCAGGAATGGGAGGGAATCCTGTACTTTTTCAGTACATTAAACAACAAACCACGAGATGGTCTATACCCTCTCTGGTTTCAGAACAATGTGCCACCAGAACCTCTTTTCACTAGTCCCTGCCTTTCTAAGGGAGAGATTCCAAACCCTTAGTTGGCATCTGGGGCAGAACACATTAGCAACTCAACCCAGAGATGCACGCTTTTTACCCTCCATTGGTAGCGTATATGGTGAGCATTTAGGCACAGAACTTAGACTTGGAATTCAATTACAACATCAAAACCAATTTAGCAATCAGGAGGATCTTTATTCAGTACAGAGCACAGCAACAGACTATAAAAGATTACAAAAATAACAAAGGCTAGGGCAATTTGCCTTAACTACACATTAAAGATTCATAGTTAGCAAGATCAGGATAGCATCCAAGAGTTCAAGATTGTCCATGGTGATAATCCAGGTAGCACCAAGGGATTTTGAGTAGGAATCCCATCTCTGCACACCATGTGCTCCAAGTCACAAAGCAGGTCTTTGTTTCGCAAGGGACAGCATTTCAGGTGTCATAAAACAGACTCTGACAAGAGGAGGAAGGGAGAGCTAAGAGAGCAAGAGCTAAGAGCATCACTCCCATAGTGATCAATGGAATTATACCCCATTCTAATCGCAATCAGCTGTGGCCATTCAGCCAATCACGAGCAGCAGGGGTGTGTGGCCAATTGTTGGTTGCCATAGCTGCGTGTGGGGATAGGCTAGAAGTTTGGAGGCCCTGCCTGCAGTCATATGACCCAGTTTCCAGCTACTTCATGGTCTACGTGATTAGTCGCATGTGGGCCAGAAAGTGTAGCCATGAGGTCTGGCGTTTGGCGTGAAAGTGTGAAAGAATGTGGGTTTATGGCATGGCTATTGACGCCATGTGGCCTCACCAATTGGCTTGCAACAGGAAACAAGACACAGCATGTTATCAAAAGACATCACAGGAGAAGGCATGAGACTTTTAGAAATCAATATTTCTATACAGCCATAGAATCCACCTTTCAAAGTGGCCATTTTCTCCAGGTGAACTGATCTCTGTTGCCTGAAGATCAGTTGTAATAGTGGGAGAACTTCAGCTACTTCCTGGAGATTGGCAACTCTAAGTATGAGCAGATTATGTCTGAGATTCAAAGGAATTCAAGATGGCGGCATCCAAATAGCAGGGAATTTACTCACAGGTTCGGCAGTCACTGCCACAATCACAGAGATCCGTCTGCCACTCAAAACTCCGTGTGGATGTGTAGCGTTGTGGCTGAGACATTATCACTGGTTGCGATGCCATTTCCATGGATACAGTGTTTGGTCAGACGTTATAGTCTAGCAAGGAAAAAAAAAGATTAATCCATTAGGACTTTCAGAAAAACGCAGGTGGTCAAGGGCCACAATTAAAGGAATCGTTACAATATTTTCGAGGTTCAGAAAAGGATTCCCCTAAGCGAGATGGCTTTGGTTGTACATAACCATGGCTTTAATGCTCTGACTTTCTGTTGCTCTACCCCTGGTCCTCTGCCATGGGATATGTGGGAGTCAGCAGGTCATTAGTTTCCAGGGTTGCCAGCTCCAGGTTGAAAATTCCTGGAGATTTGGAGGGTGGAGCCTAGGGAGGGTGAGGTTTGGGCAGGGGAGGGGCCTTAGCAGGGTATGATGTCATACCCTCTCAAACAGCCATTTTCTCCAAGGGAACGGATCTCTTTTCTTTGCCCTCCCCCCAAAAAACCTTTGTGTATTGAGAGAAACATAGAATCATAGAGTTGGTAAGGGCTGTACAGGCTATCTAGTCCAGCTCCCTGTTGTTATCCTGTAGGCATAACAACTACACCAGACAGCCCGTTGCCTTGCAGGCTCCTACCAGACACAGAGTTTAATAAATCTCTCATACCTCTAGAACCCCCAAGCACTTATGACAACAAAGCAATCTGATTTATTTGTATGTTTTGTTTTGCTCAGTTTGTGGCTTTCTGTTGGGGAGAGGGCGTGGCTTCATTAGTAGAGCATCTACTTGTGTTGGGTATTACAAGTTGAAAACACTCAGTATATCTGGGGTTAAATGTTTGTTTATGTTACTCACAGGAAGTCACATGTTTCTCATGTAACCAATGTTCTTTAGATGTAGAAAGCCCGGGAATTTTCTCCCTGATCTAGGAATTTGATTGGGACTAAAGTGTCAAGGTATATTACCATTTTATGGCTTCTCTTCCTGTCTTTGTTTGGTGTTCTGAAGAAGAAGAAGAGTAGCCATACTCTCTCTCTTCTAGTTTTGTCTTTGTAGAGTAAGGATGTAGCCGATTTAGCTCTGTTGTTATTTTCATCCCAGTTACCCTTCCCATGCTAGAATTTAGTAAAAACTTTATATTTTAATCACACATGGACTCAGAGTCTGAATTATTTCATTCCGGGACTGCTGGACTATCTTATCTCTGCTAAATACCATTTTTTTCAATATCTCACTATCACCCAACAACTTGGCATGCACAAGACCCCAGGTTCAGTCTTTGGCATCTCCAGTTAAAAAGGACCAGGCAGTAGGTAATGAGACCCTAGAAGGCCACTGCCACTCTAAGCAGACAATAATGACCTAGATGGACCAATGGTCAGTATAAGGCAGCTTCGTTTGTGTTTGTGGTGTGCGTGTTCCCGATGCAATAGGGTGGTTCCTGGCCCAATAGCCACCTCAATGTGCAGCTGTTAAGAACAAGGGGAGCCACAAGGCTGGTTTGATAAGAAAATTTACAGCAGGGGGACTCTTTCTCTCCCACAGGTTTGTTTTGAGTAAAACGACATCCCAGTTCAGTGCAGCAAGACAATACACGAAGAGAAACAGCTGACTCTTTCCAGACTGTTTGCTCAAAAACCACCAGCAGGGGATAGTCTTGGTGATAACGGGGCCCTGGGCAAAAGGCCAGGATGGGGCCCAGAATCACTGCCCTCCAACAGGGGATGGGACTCGCCAAAATGGGACTCGCCCTGTGTGAGGCAAATGGGAGCCACTGCCAGGTACCAATGGGGTGGGGATGAGGGGAAGCAGCTGCAGACGCAGGAGAATGGGGGCCAGGGCAGATTCCCTGGTAGCCCATTGGCTAAGACTGACCCTAACCATCAAGTGATTGGTTTGGTAGCTGTCATACTTATTAACATGTGAAGGTGGCTGAAAAGTCTAGGGTTGCCAGGTCTGGCCTGGCAACCAGTGGGAGACCGGTGGGCAAGGATATGGGAGGGGGGGCAGCTATTTGTGACAGACTGATGTCACTTCCAATGAAAACCCAGAACTGACATCACGCCTCTCTAGGAATCACTGGAAACTTTGTGGTAAAACGATAAGAGTTTTTGGTGATTCCTAGAGAGGACTGATGTCACTTCTGGGTTTCCCCCAAAATGACATCTTGCCATTGGATTGGCTCAACAGCCATCTTTTTTTTTGGGGGGGGGGAATTCTCTTGCTCTTGGGAAGAGTGGTGGAAGGAAAGAGGTGCTGTGGATTCCCCACCCCTCCTGGCAACTAGGGCTTGGGGAGGGAGAGAGGGACCTTGGCTGGATATAATGTCATAGAGGCTACCTGCCAAAGCAGCCCTTTTCTCCAGGGGAATTGATATCTGTCACCTGGAAATCAACTGTAATTCCGGGAGATCTCCAGGCCCCACCTAGACGTCAGCAAGCCTAGGAATTATACCCCACTGAGGTGCTTCCTTCCCCCAAACCAGGCCCTCCTACACGCCACCCCGCAAATTTCCAGGGATTTCCCAACCCAAAGTTGGCAACCCAAGAAGCCAGTTGACAATTACTCAATGGGAGTCAATTTGCTGGTACACAGCTGCTGCCTATAGCATAAAACACGCACCCCAGGATCACAGTGACGTTCTTTTTTTAATTTCCACTGATGTCAGAGAAGAGATTATGCTAAGTCCCTGCTGAAGCCAATGGGGATTCAAACGCTTATCGGCTAGATCGCCCCTCTGATTTTTAAAATGCTAGACGAAACACACGAAAGAGACAGGGAGCTGCAGGAGGCCACATGGCACATCTCCAGCCAGGCACACCCTGCCTTTAAATGTCAGGAAGTGAAGAGAGATTTGCAGATAAGGAGCGACTCATAAGGGTTTTATGTGCGCTTTGCTGTTGCGGAAACATCTCTGCCCACAGAGCTCAGAGACAAATGACACAAGAGTTGCAATCTCCCCACATGGGAAAACATCCGTGAAGGTTCCTCATCTGGACCAAGAGACTGTAGCTCGTCCACTGCATTTCCCCATATAAATCACCCCTTGAGCTGCTACGAGCAGGAACGTTGGAGGAAGTGATGACTCCCCCACTAAAAGTAACTCTAATTTCTTTCTATCTTGTGGATTTTTGAGCTCACCCTTCAAGGAAGAAGCTTAGGATGATATACTGGGTTCTTTCTTCACCATGTTATCCTCACGACAACCCTACTGGGTAGGTAGAGTTCAAAGAAAATGAGTAGCCCCAAGGTCACCCACTGAACTTCACAGCAGAGTGGGGATCCTAGTCTGCCACTCTAACCAGTATACTGCACTGGCTCTCTATGAGCAAGAGATGGGGAGGGAGGTTAACACACACACCCTTGTGCTGGCTTCAGAGTTGGCCACGCCCACTACAGCCAAAACCTCTGCGTGTGCGTGGCTACAGAGGGAAGGCCTGGACAGCGACACCCCCCCAGCGACTCTGAGGCGGGCAGGCCTGGGGAGGCCCTGGAAGGATCGGGCCTGTCCACTTGCACCTTCCCTTCCCTTCAAAGGCTGGCTTGCCCGGGCTCTCCGCAGCCACAGGGCACCTAGGCAAGCCAAGGGAGGACATGGAGGTGTGGCCTAATATGCGAATGAGCTGTGTTGTCAGGGTGTGTGGCCTAATATGCTAATTAGTTTCTGCTGCCGGGTGTGGCCTATTATGCTAATGAGTTTCTGCTTGGCTTTTTCTACAAAAAAAGCCCTAGTTATGAGAGAGCAATTTGGCTACTGCATAAATTAGATTGCTCTGGAGCCATCCTTCCTGAGCGAAGACAAAAATGTGTGAGCTGGAGGCTAAAAAACTGAGCAAGCTCACACTAACTCAGCTTAGAGGGAACACCCCCCTGCCACTGTTTTTAATATGAAATCAAACATTCAGGAATCTAATTGTAGATCTCCTACATATGGCCCTTGGCATACTTGCTGGACAGCACTTAGTTTGTGCTAAATCTATGCCGTGTTATTCATCTCTGCCTCGGGAGGGGTTGCTTTTTAATGTGAACAATTAAACGCTCTATTACATTTTTATTCCATTCTTCCTTTAAGGAACTCAGAGCAACATCCATAATTCTCCTCTCCCTGGCTTTCGCTCTAGAACATCCTCTGTTAGGTTAGGCTAGGAGAAAGGGACCGGCCCCAAGTCAACCGGTAAACTCCCCAGATCCTAGCTTATTTATATTTATTGTTTAGACTTTTAGGCCGCCCTTCCTTGCAAGCAGGGCTCAGGGTGGTTTACAACAGAATAAAAACAAGTTAGATTAAACCAGCGCTAAAACACAGTACAAAGTCATAAGTGAAAAGTAATTCCAAGGCGGCGAATAATTTGAATAAAAATTGAACTACCCAGAGCCTCCAAGGGGGCAGGTAAGGGAGCGCCAGACTACCTGCTGTCCCGTCGCTGTCCTCAGCCAAAAGCCTGGCCACTGCACCACACTGGCTTTAACATGAATTCTCCCCTCCATTCTCTGTTTTATTCTGTTTAACGTGAATTCCCCCCTTCATTCTCTGCAGCCTAGAGTGGTACATTCCCAGAAAAGCTTTGCCATTTGATCTCACTGGTAGCCATGAGAGCTGGAGAGATAGCCGAAATAAAAGGTAAAATAGTTCCCTCTAGTCGTGATAAATACTTGAATGACAGAAGATAGTAGGCTCAATCCAGCAAACACTAGCTGTGACGAAGTCTAATTGGAAGCAGTGGACTTGGATTTTCTGAGCCAGCCTATTGGTTGGTAGAAATACCTTCTATCTTTCCCAGAATAGATCTATATTTATTTAGACTCGAGTCCAGTAGCACCTTAGAGACCAACAAGATGCTACTGGACTCGAATCTATGGCCCTTTCCGCACTCTCCTTTTAATCCATGCTCACCGCGGTGTCCTCCAAAGCAATTCTGCACTAAAATCGAATTCAACCTTCTTTTTAATCCAGGTTACCTTCCCCTGCTGGAGAAGACTCTTGAGAGTCCCTTGCACTGCAAGAAGATCAAATCAGTCGATCCTAAAAGAAATCAACGCTGACTGTTCCCTGGAAGGCCAGATAATGAAACTGAAGCTCAAATACTTTGGCCACCAAATGAGAAGGGAGCACTCCCTGGAGAAGACCCTGATGCTGGGAAAGACTGAAGGTCAAAGAAGACGGGGACGGCAAAGGATGAGATGGTTAGACAGTGTCATAGAACATGAAACTGAGCGAACTTCAGAGGACGGCGGAAGACAGGAGGGCCTGGCGTGATCTGGTCCATGGGGTCGCGAAGAGTCGGACTCGACTGTGCGACTGAACAACAACAACCTTCCCCCCCCCTCTGCACTAAAATCAAGTTCAACCTTCTTTTTTATTATTTTGTTCCCCCTCCCCCTTTCTGCATGACATTCCCTCCCTTCAATGGTCAGCCTGGTTTCAGCCTGCTGTTGCCCCGGGTTATTTGGATGCTGTTTTGCCCTGGACTTAAATTGCCCCAACTCGAACACTGAAAAAATCCAGAGTGGCAGGCAAATGCAGAAAGGACCCAGCTCTTCTACTGCTGATCAACATGGGCTGCGGTCACACGGAGCATTAGCCACGCTACTGAGACTGTTAAATCACACCGCAACATCTGGGAAGCGTAGAGCTCCCATGGCGAACCCGAGGCTTCCCGCTGAAGATGTGGCATAAAAAGCTAGTACCTCCGAGGTACTAGTTTCCGGAAACCGCGGGGCAAGGGCTGGCGTCTGATCGCGTTTCCGGTGGTAGTTCGTGGCATCCGGCGCCCGCCCATGTCCCGTCGCAAACAGGTATTTTTTTCCCCAAGTCTCCACAGGATGCGCACAAGCACCCAATGGCGCATGCGTACAAAGAGGAAAGCAAAAGTTCTGTTGCTGCGCAGAATCGCGCATGCTGTTGAACGCGAAACCAAAAGTCCCACTCCTCCGTCCTTCGGCTTAAAAGAAAATAAATGACCCCGTTTGCCATGGCAGCGGCGCCTAGCCATTGCTGGTGTGATCGCGCCGTGCCGCTTCTTTGCCGTGCCGCAGGATTGTCGTGTGATCGCCACTCTCGTTTACCCGCCGGTGCTGAGGGAAGGACCCGTGGTGTGCCGCCGGCGCATCTGATCGCGTAATCACAGATCAAACTGCACCGGGGCAATTAGCCACGCCTCCCCCCAGCGATATCCGGCCCGTGTGACCGGGGCCATGGCTAACCTCTGAAACGATAAGCTTTCCTGTGCATGCACACTTCTTCAGATGAACACGAAAGCTTATACCCAGAATAAAAGTTTGTTGGCCTTAAAGGTGCCACTGGACTCAAACTCGGTTCTGCTGCTACAGACCAACACAGCTACCCCACCTGAAACTCTCTGAAACTATGTTTATTTAGTATATTTTTATCCTGCCCTTCCTCCAAATAGCTCAGGGTGGCGTCTATCATTTCCCACTTCCTCCAGTTCATACAACAACCCTGCAAGGTAGCTTAGTCTGAGAGAGAGAGACCGGATTGAGCTCAATCAACAACCCTCATGGAAAAGCAGAGATCTGATCCTGGGTCTCTCAGGTTCTGGTTTGGCCCCGTCTCCCCTACACCACACTGGCAGAGTGGTAAAAACGTTCAAATATCTCCAGTTAATCAGGAAAAAGCAAAACCCTGTACACATACCGTCTGCTGAATTATTCCAGAAGGAAAGGTTTCTTTTTCCTAGATGGGATTCAATCGACAAACCTTTTATATGTAAGGAGGTTCCAGCATCACATCAAAAGAGCTCTGGTGTTTTCAGAGATGTCAGTGGCTATTTAACATGCTGGCAATTTAATTAATAGTTGCAATAATTGATCTGACATGATAATAAGTTGGAAACCGTCAACAGCCCTTCATGACCAAGTAGTAAATTAGATGCTGAGGTTATTTGCATTGCACAATCCTGGAAACATCAAGGCGTGGTCCTTCAGTCACCTTCAGATTACACACTCCTCTGGAGTTCTGTGTTTCTATATTTGGAGAGGCGTCATTCGTGTGTCTGCTGCCGGGAGAAATCACATTTGCAGTGCTGCTCGAAACGTGACGAATGGGAAATGCAAAGAAAGCAAATACAACTCATTCATTTTAAAGTTTAATTTAGGGGGGAGAACCAAATTGTGTAAGGTTGGATCCTGCCTGTGTCTTCTGGAGGATCCAACCCGGCAGCTTCGATTGCCCCCCACAAAAAAAGAAGAAATTAAAGCCTAAAGAAAAAATAATTCAAATGGAAGTATAAAGAGATCCAATAGGTAGTGTCCATGAATAACAATAATACTGAACCTTTTATATAGAAACACAGGATTGAGAAAGACAGGTTGCTTACCTGTAACTGGTGATCTTCGTGTGGTCATCTGTGCATTCACACCCTTGGGATAGTCTGCGCCTGTGCTGACCCTGCTCGGTACCGGTAGCAAGCCAAAGGGATTTTCATGCCCGCTCCTGGGTCACGTGCCGGGCTCCACTGCGCATGACCAAGGAGGGGCAGGCAGATCCCGCCAGTTCCTTCTGACCGCCGCCCAACTGCCTTCAAAGAACAAGACGAAGGGCCGAGAGCAGAGGGGAAGGAGTGCGGGTGGTGTGAATGCACAGATGACCACTCGAAGATTACCAGTTACAGGTAAGCAATCTGTCTATCTTCTTCATGGTCTCTGTGCATCACACCCTTGGGAAATTAGCAAGCAGTAAATGCTTACCTGGAGGAGGGGCCAAGACCCTACATCTGTGCTGTCTGCAACACTGCTCGACCCACTGTCGTCCGGCAACTGAACCGGGTATCAAGAGCGTAGTGCTTCACGAATGTGAGAGGAGTAGCCCAAGTCGCAGCGTTATAGATGTCCTCCAACGATGCACCTCTCAAGAAAGCTGTAGACGTGGCCACTGCCCGTGTGGAGTGCGCTCGAATCTGTTCCGGGAGCGGTTTTCTTGCCAAAGTATAACACAGCTTAATAACCTCCACAATCCATTTGGACAGACACTGGGAGGAAATCCTCTTCCCCTGAGAGGGTAGACTATGAACAACAAATAAAGCTGGGGACTTACGAAAAGGTTTAGTCCTCCCCAGATAAAACAACAGCGCTCTCTTAACATCCAGAGAATGCAGCCGACGTTCCTCTTCAGAGGATGGAGACGGGAAAAATGACGGAAGAACTATATCAGAGCATAAATGAAACTCTGAAACAACTTTAGGCAAAAATGAAATATCCAAGGCCAATGAAACCCCTTGAGGGGAAAAACTCAAATACGGAGGGTCACACCTCAACGCAGATAACTCGCTCACTCTGCGAGCAGACGTAATGGCTACTAGAAACGCCGTCTTTAACGACAGTAACTTCAAACTACACGTAGCCAATGGCTCAAAAAGTTTCCCTGTCAAAAAATTTAAAACCAAAGCCAAGTCCCAGGCCAGAGCAGGAGTACGACTAGGAGGGTACAGACAAATAAGACCTTTACAAAACTTCTTGGTCTGAGGATGGGAAAACACAGAAAACCCATCTATAGAAGGTTCGCTGACACCGCAGCCAAATAAACCTTGACCGAAGCAAAACTAAGTCCCATATCCAATCTGGACAAAATAAAGCCAAAAATCGACCTCAAGTCAGACAGAGGTGGAGGCAATTTCAGTGAAAGTAAGTACTCCAAAAATTTGTTCCATTTCCTATCATATGACATCCTCGTAGAAAGTTTACGACAGTTTAAGAGGACATCATCTATTCTCTTATTCATATCGGAAACCGTATGTCCCACACTGTCAACTTGAGACTCAAGGGATTGTGATGGAGGATCTGGCCTCCCTGGGCCAGCAGAAGATCTAATGCCCAAGGAAGGGGTATGAAGGAGCCCTTGGACAGGTGAAGCAGTACAGGGTTGACGAGGCCACCATGGGGTTACAAGGAGACAATGAGGCTTGTCCTGCTGAATTTTGACAAGAACTCTTTGAATGAGCGGAAGAGGAGGAAATAGGTACAGAAAGTGATGCGACCACGAGATCAGGAGACCGTCCCCTAAGGACAGAGGATCCATCCCTGCTCTGGAAGAGAACAGGCGACATTTTGTGTTGTGACGGTTCACAAAGACGTCTATTTCTGGATGACCCAGTTGACGAAAAATAAGTGAAAGGTACTCCCAATTGAGTTCCCACTCGTCGTCCGTTGCTCCCCCTCTGCTCAAAAAGTCTGCCTGAAGATTCATGACCCCTGGCAGATGGGCCGCTTGAATGGTAGTGTTCCACCGGAGACAGTCTTCCCAAATAGTCAAGGCCAACTTGCACAGAGCTCTGGACACGGTTCCTCCCTGGTGTTTGATATAAGCCATTGCCGTTGTATTGTCCGTGAATATCATTACTATTCTTCCCGCTATTATTCGCTGAAAGGATCTGAGAGCAAAACGTACTGCCAGCAGTTCCAGATAATTGATATGATGGTGTTGCCTCTGAGAGTCCCATGGTGCACCCACACATTTCCCTTCTGTGTGAGCACCCCAACCCCACATAGAAGCATCCGTGGTGATTGACACTGAGGGAACAAGAGGTTGGAAGGGGGCCCCCGCAAAGAGATTGGTTTCCTTTAACCACCAGTGGAGGAAATGGAGGACATGGGGGGGAATTTTCATGACTAAGTTTGGAGAATGAAAAAGTAGATGGAACTTCTTCAGGAACCATATCTGCAACGGACGCATGCGCAGACGTGCACACTCGATGACCGAGGTGGTGGCTGCCATCAGTCCCAACAACCTCTGAATGCGAACTGCAAAGGTTATGTTTGACAGGAATAGATTGCGAATTTCCTGACAAATCAATTCTGCCCTCAGACGCGGTAGATATGCCCTGGTGTCTTTCGAGTCGATGACAGCTCCTATGAACTGTACTCGAGTCGCAGGCTGAAGCATCGACTTCTGCAAATTCACGAGCACTCCTAGGGACTTAAGAGTCGATAGCATGATGTTGATATGATGAAGGAGAAGGTCTTTGGATTCCGCAACCAGCAACCAATCATCTGTGTATGGAAATATCTGAATTCCTCGAAGGCGGAGATGGGCTACAATAACTACCATCACCTTCGTAAAAACCCTGGGGGCGGTGGAAAGCCCAAAGGGAAGGGCCTTGAATTGGTAATGCGCCTCCCCTACTGTAAATTTGAGGAAGCGTCTGTGACAAGGGTGAATCGAGACATGGAAGTATGCGTCTTTCAAATCCAAGGTGACCATCCGGGCCCCTGGAGACAGTAACGGTAGAATAGTTTGAAGAGTAGACATGCGGAACTTTTTGTAGACAATGAACTGATTGAGGAATCTGAGGTCCATGATAGGATGGAGGCCTCCGTCCTTCTTCGGGACCGTGAAGTACAGAGAATAAAAACCTTGGCGGTACTCTAGTTCTGTCACCGGCTCTATGGCGTCTTTTAATGTCAGAGATTGGACTTCCTGAATGAGGACTGGTGACGTTGGAGTTTGAATGAAATGGGAAAACAAGGGTGTTTGAAGAAACTCTATGAGATAGCCCTCTTTGATGATGGATAGAACCCATTTGTCGGTTGAGACTTGCATCAAAACATTGAGAAACGGTGCCAGACGTGTCTTTGAGTTGAGAGTGGAGTCAAAGTCCCTGTTTGGGGTTCTTGGGGGCCTTTGACTTGTACTGTCCAGAAGGCTGGGCTCTAGACTTATTCCCAAAGGATCGAGACTGTGCCACAGGTGGTCTTTGCCACTGCTCAGTGGGCGATTTATTAGACGACTGTCTATTTGACCATGATTGTCTAGACCATTGTTTATGCTTGTTATATTTGGAGGACGGGGAGATCCCCAAACTCTTAGATGTCTTTATACTTTTATCCATTTCCTGCAGCACAGCATTAGTGGTGGAACTAAATAGTCCAGTGCCTTCAAATGGAAGGTCTTCCACCGAAGACCTAGTATCATACAGTAGGGAAGATGAGCGCAACCAGGCATGTCTGCACAATGCGACAGAAGTTGCTAGGGTCTTGCCCGCAGACTCCAATGTATGCTTAGCAGCACTAATCTAATGCCTGGCCAAGATCATTCCTTCAGTCTGAAGTTTCTTGACTTGGGAGTGGCATTCTTTAGGAAGGTGAGGAAGAAACTCCGACATATGCTTCCATAAATTAAACTTGTATTGACCCATGCAGGCATGCCCATCGCTCCGACTGTATAAAAGTTTCTTCCCATAGAATCCAATTTCTTTTCCTCCTTCTTAGGCGGAGTGGAATGACTTGATTTTCCTTTTGTAGATGAATACACTACTAGGGAATTAGGCTTTGGGTGAGTGAAAAGGAACTCAGCCCCTGTCTCTTGGATCTTATACATGTGATCGAGCCGTTTATTAGATACAGTGAGAGAAGAAGGGTGAGCCCAAAAATCCTTGGTAGTTTGTAGCAAGACCTTTGCCATAGGTAAAGCCACTGAAGAGGAAGTGCCAGACTGCATAATGTCAAAGACATTGTCGTCTACCAGACGTGATATCAACGTGGGAGTCATTGACAGATCTAATGCCATGCGTTGGATGAAATCACCGTACGATTTGACATCTTCTGAAGGTGAGATAGGAAGATCTGCTTCCACATCAGGAGGTGGGGAAGGCATGAGTATATCGTCTCCCTGGTCAGACAATTCCTCTGAACCAGATGAGGTATTAGACATAGCTGGAGACGGAGCTGGCAATGAAGGTACTTCTGTCGGTACCGATGTATTCGGTGGTGGCAGAGTTGGACACGGC